ATTGTATGATTTTCAGAGCGCTCTCAATGAATAAAGGCTGACCATTGCAGGATTGGGTCTTTGTTTAATTTATTCAAACTAAGAGATTTACAACCTTTTGTGAATTATTCAAATACTTAAGATGTAGTTGACTTCAACCATTGAGATAACAAAAGTATCATGACATGTGGAGTGACAATTTACAATTGATCCTACCATTTCTAAAGATTTGCGTGCCAGTTATGATTTTCATATGTGCATTAGAACTAATTGTGTCTATTGAATATCTAATTGCCCACTAAACAATGGCGCTGTCCATTAGCACCACAGGCTTGATCTTGAAACACAGATTCTCTTGGTGAATGGTACAGTGACATTTAACCATGGGGTGGCCAATCTTATCTTCAATCCTTTATGTTTCCCCACCATAGCAGGGGCACAGTCAGTTGTAATAGCAAATATGTTTTTAATATCGACACCTCTCTCCTCAAAATGATCTGTGAAGGCATTTGCTACATCTTCCCCTTTAGAAGTACTATGCATGGGTTTTAGACAAAGCAGCTCCTCACGTACCTGCTCTGAGTCACAGTATCTTGCAACAACTGCCAGATGTGGAATGTCATTCACATCCACACTCTCATCAAGAGCCACACTAAACAGGTGCAGCTTTTAACGCTACAGTTTGCTGCTCCTTTACATGTTCAACCATCTCGGTAAAGCACCTTTCAACAGATCTGGCAGACACAGGCATGTCTTTTATCTTTGAGATGATTGTGTCTTTGTGATGCAATCCATCAAATAAAGCCTGCGAAATACTGAGGAAAGCCTCCTTTATATATTCCCCATTAGTAAATGGTTTTCCATGTTTAGCAATGCACTGTGCAACTTTGTAGCTTCCTTCTGTAGCTTGATTTTTGACTGCATGTAGATTTGTAAACACACTGCTTTGCTTTTCATACCTGGACAAGGCCCTCTTGATTCCTTCAGCCTTGTCCGCCTCATCCTTGAAATTTTTCTCATGTCTCGTTTCAGAATAATGCAAAGACATCTGCCTTATTTCTCTTTGCTGATGACATTTTGCACCCCAAACTTTTTTAAATAACAAAAGAAGGCTTGCTAGCTGCTAGCCATGTGAAAACGAATCTCTCATCTTCAGTGCTGCCTTGGTTTTGAATTTGACGGGAGAGGCGAGACGGGTTGTCTTGCTCTGAACTAAAAATATGAAACTGGAAAATCATGAAAGCCCATTGACATACCTTGGGAACTACAACGTTGCAATTTTGAAACCAATGCATGCAATTTCAATTATCTTCTCCAGTTTACAAAAATAAAATTAACTGGCACAAATAAGTGAGATAATAAATGTCCAGCCAAGGCTTAGCATGGCAGGTAAAAAAAAGTATAAAATAAATATATATAAACTTTTGTAAAAATAAAAAATATATATAATAATATCTAAAAAAAGGTGTGCCAAGGCAAATACCCTTGGGTGCCAAGGCTGGCACGCCTTAGGTTGCCGACCCCTGGCCTATGCTGGTGCCAAAAGCCTCTCACTTGTTTTACTTTGTAAAACAATATTTGGAAGTTGATCACATATTTTGGTAGCCTACAGCTGACAAATTAGTCTTCTCTTTTCAGCAGGAGCCATGTGCTTTCCAACCTGTGTTTTCCCGCGATTGTAGGCTATTTTAAATATTGCAAAAGGACAATTTTGTCTGCATGCTGTTTGTTCACTGACACATTTGCCCCACGTTCCTGACTGTAGGCTAGGCCTTGTTATTGGGATACACTCCACAGCAAGGCTATTTTTAAAATAAACTATTTATCCTCTGTGGCAAAATGTGAAGCTTTCTCGTGGTGTAGTAGGCTATTCTGAATTATTACATTTATTTCTATTTCTCATGAGTGCTGCAGGAAAAAAAATATGAAGTTCAACGCTGGAGAGATGAGAGTTTCAGGCTCATGTCCATCAGAGCAGAGGGACAGAGATAATAGAAAGTTAATCTCATTCTAGTTCTGTGAGAGATAGGAGGGGGAAGGTGGCATGAGAAATAACGAAGAGCCAATTCGAATGAATTTTGATTGCGTTTATTATAATTTTTACATTGCAAAAAGTGACAATTATTGTTCATGCCACGAGAGGTACCGGATATGGCCAAATAGGTTCCGGAACGAAACAGTCCAAAACGGAGATGCGCCGGTTCAAATTAAACACTGACTGTATGACAATTTAGTACTTTTCCCGCCCGGATAGGCGTAGTTTTCCCCGGGTGAAAAGTGACTGACTGGGCTTGTTCGACAATGCGTAGTGATGGGAAGTTCGCCTACTCTGTGAAGTGCGAGTCTGCAATCATTCAATTCGCCCTTGCACTCCTTCTAAACAACGCAATTTTTTGAAACTTTGGCAAAGGGTAAAGTCTACATAACGCAGTCCACTCTGTATGTTACAGATTATAATTTTGGAAACAGAAACCTGTATGGAGATCAAATGTTTCATCGATTAGAAAATTAGAATTTCGGCCAAAATTAATCTTGCTCCATCTTCTCCCACAGCCGACGACTGGGTTCCTCTCGTCACCATATTTGGTAGTGAGTGGAAACGCCAACCGGATGCTTCATATTTATACATCCGGTGAAATATCTGTCTCATTGTTTTATCTGTGTTTGGACCACCTGTCAGGGAGCTAGCGTTAGTAGGTTAGCTTCTCCATACTCACTTTCCCAGACACAGGAGTGGCATTTTGGCAATGGATTCGCTTTTGAATATGTGAGTGGGTAGTTCTGACAGGTTACAGCAATGTTCGTTTTTTGAGCGTCTGTAAAATGTGATTTGTAACAATTCGTCTAGCTAGCTTGCTAGCTGTCTAGGGTAGCTACCTAGCTCGATACATGTTAATTGATGTACATTTCCATTCTTGCAGATGCGCCGTATATGTCGCAATCTATGCGGACAGATACCTCAGTGACTTCATAGCTTTACCTGCAGGCATAAAAGACACGCTGCTACGAATCATGTCATCACAGGGCACGGTGACCGACCTAAACATCAGTCAGGTAATAGCTGTGTATTATATGAAATAGGGTTGTGATAAGTTGCGTCAATTCAAATCTGGTATTGGAACAAAAGAGGTCAACACACGTCCTCTAAAATAGACTAGTATTTTAATTAATGCAAAACACTTCAATGGTAAATATGATGTTCGTATATACGGGTCCACTGAAATACCACGCAGGGCACTCAGAGAACTGGTCCATTGTTCTAAGTTCTTCCCTAAATACTCTGACAGAGATAGTTCCCGCTCCCTGCTGGCCTATCAGAGTAGAGACTGAGCGTGGTTTAGACTTACTCAGCCTATCGTTGGCGCACAGGCTGGTCCCAGTCCCTTGGCGCTTCCCTATTGCCTGGCATAAGTTGTTATCTGCAGCTGGTCCAGAGAGTCAGCACCCATAGACACAGTTTCCCAGTACTTTCCCACCCTAACTGTACTCTTTGTTGAACTGCCCAAGGACATATGTACAAAGAGGCAGTGTTTGTGTATGTGAGACACAAGTCTTATCTCCCCCTACTCCCTAACAGCTCCTCACATGAATCACAGCTTGTTATGTTAAACAATTTATATCAGTACAGTACAAACCTATTATGTTTAATCATTAATGCATCCTTTCTAAGCTAGGCATCACATCTAGTTATAAGAAAATAGATCCCCACAGTTGTCCACTGTGGTTCTGGCGAATTCCTGTTCTGGAACCACAGTGGACACCTTCAGTTCAGACAGTGTGCAGGTTTTTGTTCCAGCACAGCAGCACATATATCATCCACCAGCGGCTCTCTCAATTGAGCCGGGGCATGTGTTTAGCCAAAGATGATGGATATACTGACAAGATGCATCTCTCCAGAGTTGCCAACTCCTCAGTAAGGAGAGTAGCTATTGGCTGTCCTAAAAGTCGCTAAATGATGTAATCACCTAATTTGCATAAGTGGCCATGTGCATGTAATTGTGATGGACGCTGTAGGAGAGAGGAATAACGTTGTGGGAGAGACAAAAAGTGAGTAAAAAACACCCTACATTTACATTTGAATGTAAGCCAGGGCGGGATCAGCCAGCGGCGGCTTCCCGCATGCGCGATTCATTTGCAGTCTGGACGTGTAGGGGTGAACATCTCCTGCTCTGACTGCAGCTGGGAGGGACTTCTGCTGGAAGACTGGGCCGCCTGTGAGTCCTTTGGGACGGGGGTAACAAAGCACCCGCTGCTCATTGAGAAGAGTAAGAACGATACGTGCTTTCACGTCAGAGTCTCCAATAACACCAGAAAAAGTCGCGAGATTTGTCGCTAGTCGCTTTTTTGAAAATGTGTCGCTAGAGGGGTCTGAAAACTCTCTAAATATAACGACAGTCGCTAAGTTGGCAACACTGCATCTCTCCACCCTAACAATGGGAGTCATCCACAAAGCGGCACAGCAGGCTGTCTAGATCCCGCCTATCGTTTCTTTGGATTAGTGGATACAATTCAATATAGTCAACCTTTTTTAAATCTTCGATGAGGGCAGTTGAGGTGAACTGCTTGAATTCAGTGGAGAGAGATGCTATGCTACTAGCCTCATACCATGAATATGCATAGCCACCTTGAGACAACTCCGAAATAGTGTTTTTTCTCAAAGTTGCCGGGATGTCACGTGTCCTGCTTCTCAGTACATTTGTAACAACTTAAGCATTACGAAATTTCTATTCAATAAAATCCACCTCACGAAGCAAATAAGCCATACGTTTTTTTGTTGACCAAATTTGACACTCATTGATCTCCATACAAACACTACTCCTTGCTTGGTGGGCGAAATGCAAAAAAACGCTACCTGCTGGAGGGAGACAGATTTTCCCCTGAGTTGGGCCTCTCTCTTCCTCTCTGGTTTGGCCCAGCACTAACACACATGATTCTAATCAAAGTCATGGTATTCATTCTGTGTGCTACTACTGGGCTAGAACCAACTCCTGCACACTTCCTACTGTGTTTTCCCTCAGCTGATGCATCTTGGGACACACAAGCTGGACATGGTGAACTGCAGAGTGTCTGACTCCGCCCTGCAACAGATCCGCTGTCCGCAGCTCCGGACGATCCTTCTGCGGGGCCAACCCAGCATCACCTCAGATGGTACCTACAGTGGGGAAAAAAAGTATTTAGTCAGCCACCAATTGTGCAAGTTCTCCCACTTAAAAAGATGAGAGGCCTGTAATTTTCATCATAGGTACACGTCAACTATGACAGACAAAATGAGAAAAAATTATCCAGAAAATCACATTGTAGGATTTGTAATGAATTTATTTACAAATTATGGTGGAAAATAAGTATTTGGTCAATAACAAAAGTTTCTTAATACTTTGTTATATACCCTTTGTTGGCAATGACACAGGTCAAACGTTTTCTGTAAGTCTTCACAAGGTTTTCACACACTGTTGCTGGTATTTTGGCCCATTCCTCCATGCAGATCTCCTCTAGAGCAGTGATGTTTTGGGGCTGTCGCTGGGCAACACGGACTTTCAACTCCCTCCAAAGATTTTCTATGGGGTTGAGATCTGGAGACTGGCTAGGCCACTCCAGGACCTTGAAATGCTTCTTACGAAGCCACTCCTTCGTTGCCCGGGCGGTGTGTTTGGGATCATTGTCATGCTGAAAGACCCAGCCACGTTTCATCTTCAATGCCCTTGCTGATGGAAGGAGGTTTTCACTCAAAATCTCACGATACATGGCCCCATTCATTCTTTCCTTTACACGGATCAGTCGTCCTGGTCCCTTTGCAGAAAAACAGCCCCAAAGCATGATGTTTCCACCCCCATGCTTCACAGTAGGTATGGTGTTCTTTGGATGAAACTCAGCATTCTTTGTTCTCCAAACACGACGAGTTGAGTTTTTACCAAAAAGTTCTATTTTGGTTTCATCTGACCATATGACATTCTCCCAATCCTCTTCTGGATCATCCAAATGCACTCTAGCAAACTTCAGACGGGCCTGGACATGTACTGGCTTAAGCAGGGGGACACGTCTGGCACTGCAGGATTTGAGTCCCTGGCAGCGTAGTGTGTTACTGATGGTAGGCTTTGTTACTTTGGTCCCAGCTCTCTGCAGGTCATTCACTAGGTCCACCCGTGTGGTTCTGGGATTTTTGCTCACCGTTCTTGTGATCATTTTGACCCCACGGGGTGAGATCTTGCGTGGAGCCCCAGATCGAGGGAGATTATCAGTGGTCTTGTATGTCTTCCATTTCCTAATAATTGCTCCCACAGTTGATTTCTTCAAACCAAGCTGCTTACCTATTGCAAATTCAGTCTTCCCAGCCTGGTGCAGGTCTACAATGTTGTTTCTGGTTTCCTTTGACAGCTCTTTGGTCTTGGCCATAGTGGAGTTTGGAGTTTCTCAATTTGTCTGTCATAGTTGACGTGTACCTATGATGAAAATTACAGGCCTCTCTCATCTTTTTAAGGGGGAGAACTTGCACAATTGGTGGCTGACTAAATACTTTTTTCCCCCACTGTACCTACCAAATGTAACAATTTCTGTGTTAAAAAAATTATTATAATAATTGACACAGTTTATTTTTCTGTTAGTCAGCACTTCTACCAACATTCTTGGATATGCACCAGCTTTTTGCTGGACCATCACTCTGTTTACAATACATTTACAATACAGTACATTACAATGAACATCATAATACAATATGTCGCCGTTGATAATGGCTGACCCTAGCTGTGACCCAACTCTCCGAGGGTGTCTCAGGGGGAGTTGGGATATGCAAAAAACACATTTCTAATTCACACATGCATATGATACTCATTTGTACATTTGTGAAATAGGACAAATATAAGCACCCACCAAATAATAAAAATATATAAATATATTATAACACAATATGACATATGATGTGATCTAACACAATACAATTACATTGCTCTATACAATTAACATGTTGATTGGTCGGTTCTCTGTAGGTGTGAGGGCTCTGGCGGCCTCCTGCCCAGGCCTGCAGGTGGTGGACCTGACTGAGTGTACTGCAGTGACAAATGAGGGGGTCCTGGCGCTGGCCCATGGCTGCAGTTCGCTGGAGGTCCTCTCCCTCTGGGGCTGCTCTGCTGTGGGAGATGCCGCCCTGCTGGCACTGGCAGGGAACTGCAGGCTTCTCCATAGCCTCAACCTCTCGGGAACCAAGGTAATTCAATTGAGTGAGTGAACTGCTTATTAAGTTTTCACTACAGATTGGATGACATATCTCTCTAATAAACTTAAACCCTGGGTTTAAGACTGAAGTTTTTGTGAAGGCTGCGCTCCTCCTATTCCTAATATTTAGATTATCTTAGTATAACAGGAATTTATGGTTTATCCCTCTGGACGGAGCATTACCAGGTTGGTACTTTGACGCTTTAGAAGAGGAACATTTAATTTGTCATCTTATATGGCCTGAAGAAGGGACAGGTCATCCTGTTCCTCTTAGTATCTGTAAGATTGCTCAATCACACAGTTTCATGTTGCCCTTTTCACTTAATCAGTCTGTTTTATAACTGTTTCTAAACTGCCCTGTTCTAACTGAGATCATATGCTCTTTGTTTCAGGTTACAGATGAGGGTGTCATTGGGCTGGCTACTGCACCATGCTCTAACAGTTTGAAGGTAAGAAGACCAACACATGTGCATATGAAAATAATTAACTCAGAGGACAATAAACTCTGTCCCTTTATGCTTTTGTTGTGTAGATCTTGTCTGTTCAAACTTAAAATGATCAATTAATACCCCTGGTATAGTATAAGTGTGCAAAAAAGTAGGTCTGTGCACAAGTTCTTCAAGGTGATTGCTATGGCAGGAGCAACTTAGTATTGCGTAGAGGCGTCACTACAGACCCTGGTTCGATTCCAGGCTGTATCACAATCCGGCCATGATTGGGAGGCCCATAGGGCGGTGCACAATTGGCCCAGCGCCGTCCGGGTTTGGCCGTCATTGTAAATAAGAATTTGTTCTTAACTGACTTGCCTAGTTAAATAAAGGTTACATAAGACACATGTAAACACTGCACATTTGGAAAGATAACGTCCAGCCTTGATTCAAGTCTTAGTTTATTTGTTTTTATAGAAAGACTTCCAAGTGTGCCGTTTTCCCATGTTTTTTTTGGAGCCAGATTATTATGTCTAGGCAGACAGGGATCTCTAAATTATATGATTTGATGTGATGTAGGAACTCCAGTTGGCCCGATGTCGTAACCTGACAGGCAAGGCGGTGAGGGCTGTCCTTACAAACTGCCCCAACGTCCGGATCTTTACCTTCGATGGATGTCCTCTCATCACTGGTGAGCTTTTAGCTCAAAGTATAAGTTGTCTACTATAACAGCGTTAAGAACGTACCGTAAGATCACTCCACAGCTAATTTGAAATGTCGCCGATGGAGTTATCAAAATAAAAAAAAATTGATAGCTCAAACGGTTGGTACGTTGAGGGCGGTCACATGTGTCTGCGAGCAGAGCCCCCGGTATGGGGACCGGGACAGTGGAGGAAAATATACTGTTAGCAGCACCCTGACGTCCATTTCACTAGCCCAGTCCAGATCTGTATGTGTGTTTATAAATTGGTATTCAAAAGACAATTGTGGTAAATTCACAACTGTATAGCTATATGTCACGAGAATTTTACTATCTCAATTGTTGAACTCAACTGTCACTCAAGCTTTGAATAATTCCCAGAGGTTGTAAGGCTCTAGTTAACAATGAATTAAACAAAGTCCCGTCTGCAATAGATCAGTATTTTATTCATGAGAGCTCTGAAAATCATACAATGAACAATGTTTTTTATACCTTTACTACGCCCCTAAGTGGGCCAATGAAAAAGCTCCTTGCCCATATATAGGCAACTCTCACATTTCTCTGTAAGCTTTTACAACAACCTATTTGTTTCTTCTTGTATCTATTTCACACTCCAGCTGTGTTCGTGTGGTTGCTTTTCTGTTTCCTCCAGTATCAGGTCACACATGCACAGACTTCCTTGACTGGTTTCACAAGACACAAATACTCTGTTGCTGGGCAAATATGCATCTTATACAAGAACATATGATTAACTCTCTAAGCTCTCTCACTGTCCTCACCCTAGATGGGGACATGTTTTTCAGTGTTTAGTTTCGCATCCTGTTTTCTGTTGTTGGTTTCACAGTTGGACTCTGCTTGCATGGATATAAAAATAAGTCGATGCCCTAGTTGTACTTCTAACTAAGCTAAACACGATTATATATAACACAGATTATAGTCTTATGATTCTATCACATTTCTACAGTTTCGGGGTGGAATACTTTAGTCATCACCTTAAACATACACATCTTCTATCAATATAACCCGAACCTCCTTTGTCTTTCAGATCAAGAGGCCCTGCACAACCTTTTAGACCCAGATAAGTTCCAACAGGTATCATGGACAGTGTACTGAGGGAAAAGTTACCCATAAATGCAGACCTAGGAACAGATTACCCTACCCACAATCCTAAACCTACCCATTAGATTATCTGACCCTGGATCAAGGAGTTAGGAGCAACTTCTACCTACTCCAAGGGAGCACTGAGGAGGAGGGCTGGAAAGAAAAGACACTTAAACTCCTTCAAATGATCTAAGCTTCTGGGACCAAAGTGACGGCACTGGGCTCATGGCTGTTATTTATATTCCGCTAAACAAAAAAACACCAGTCTCAGTAAATCTCAGTTTTGTAGTGTGATTATCATCAATAAGTGGTTGAAGATTGTCAAGTTGCGTCAATTCAAATCTGGTATAGGAACAAAAAGAGGTCAATACACGTCTTCAAAAATAGACTAGTATTTTAATTAATGCAAACACTTGAATGGTAAATATGATGTTCGTATATACGGGCCCACTGAAAAACCACGCAGGGCAGACAGAGAACTGAGCCATTGTTATAAGTTCTTCTTTAAATACTCTGACAGAGATAGTTCCCGCTCCCTGCTGGGCCTGTCAGAGTAGAGGCTGGGTGTGGTTTAAACTTACCCAACCTATCGATGGCGCACAGGCTGGTCCCAGCCCCTTGGTGCTTCACTGTTGCCGGGCATTAGTTGTTATCTTTACAACTTGTCTTGAGTCAGCAACCTCAGACATAGTTTGTTCTTCTTCATTGTAGCAGAACACATGTCCTTGAGCGGTTTAACAAAGAGGCAGTGTGTGTGTGTGTGTGTGAGTCACAAATCTGTCTCAGCCTACCCCCTAACGGTTCCTCACATTAATCACAGCTTGTTATGTTAAACAATCTATATCAGTACAGCACAAACCTATTATGTTTAATCATTAATGTATTCTTTCTAAGCTAGGCATCACATCTAGTTGTAAGAAAATAGATCCCCACAAGATCAAACCTCGATAGTTAGTTGGATGTGCTGCTCAGTGTTGTATTCTCTGTCAATGTTACATTTCATATTTATTTATTTTGAAACTAAAAGTTTTTGTAAATGCACTTATGACATTATTTTCACTGTACTTAATTTGAGATGTCCTTGCTGTAACTTGGTTGTATGCACGCAGCACCCTGCCCTCGATTTAGAAATTGTTACTCCATTTCTGTTGTAAATATGTAAGCACAAAAGTAGTGATACAATCTTACATTTGGAAATAAATAATATGTTGGAACAAAGTCTGTTCAGGTACACTGTGATGGGAACTGCCTGTTTCACTATATGTGTATCTTTGTAACATGGAAAAAAACACATATCTGTTTGGACACATCACATAGTAGTAGGTTCATTGCATGTAGGTTAGGTAAAGGCTCTTCTCAGGAAGGTATGGGCTTCTTTGCCTTTGTACTTCTGTAAAACAAAGAAGATAAGAAGTACCAATGCATACATGACCTTCATTACAGAACGTATGTTGACCAAGTCACAACGTTAATATGTAACTGACCTGATGTTCCTGTACTGACCAATGAGAATATACGTTACTTACTTTTACAAAAAACTCTGCATTGTTGGTTAAGGGCTTGTAAGTAAGCATTTCACCGTAAAATGTGATTTGATTTGTGTAAGTTAACTGTGAAGAAGGAGATGGGGAAAAAACGTACGTTTGGCAAGGTGTTCGTCTGAGCACGACCCTTTCATTGCAATGTAAAAAAAGACTTGAATTGGATTCAAGCATTTGTCGTTTGTTTGTACCATGACAACTTAGAACACTAAGATGAGCAGCTGATAGTTTCAGAACAGGAATTTTATTTGACCTTTATTTTATCAGGTCTCTTTTACAGATGAGCTCTGAATTACATAAATTACAGAAAATACACACATCAATATAAATACAAAATGTAAGCAGAAAGAAAAACATTGTAATAAAAAACAAACACATTCATCAGTAATAAGGTCCTCAATCAGCTTTCTGAATTACCCTAGAGGCACCAGAACATCACATTTAAGATTGTTTCCGCAAATAAGGTGCAAGAAAACTAAAAGCTGATTTACCTAACTCAGTAGAGACCAAAGGAATTTCCAGAGTTAGCCATCCCTGAGACCGGGTGTGGTAATTGTATGTCTAAAGTTTTTAATGATGTTAGGTACAGTGGGACCTTTTGTAAAATGGCTTTATAAATGAAAACATACAGTGGGGGAAAAAAGTATTTAGTCAGCCACCAATTGTGCAAGTTCTCCCACTTAAAAAGATGAGAGAGGCCTGTAATTTTCATCATAGGTACACGTCAACTATGACAGACAAAATGAGAAAAAAAAATCCAGAAAATCACATTGTAGGATTTTAATGAATTTATTTGCAAATTATGGTGGAAAATAAGTATTTGGTCAATAACAAAAGTTTCTCAATACTTTGTTATATACCCTTTGTTGGCAATGACACAGGTCAAACGTTTTCTGTAAGTCTTCACAAGGTTTTCACACACTGTTGCTGGTATTTTGGCCCATTCCTCCATGCAGATCTCCTCTAGAGCAGTGATGTTTTGGGGCTGTCGCTGGGCAACACAGACTTTCAACTCCCTCCAAAGATTTTCTATGGGGTTGAGATCTGGAGACTGGCTAGGCCACTCCAGGACCTTGAAATGCTTCTTACGAAGCCACTCCTTTGTTGCCCGGGCGGTGTGTTTGGGATCCTTGTCATGCTGAAAGACCCAGCCACGTTTAATCTTCAATGCCCTTGCTGATGGAAGGAGGTTTTCACTCAAAATCTCACGATACATGGCCCCATTCATTCTTTCCTTTACACAGATCAGTCGTCCTGGTCCCTTTGCAGAAAAACAGCCCCAAAGTATGATGTTTCCACCCCCATGCTTCACAGTAGGTATGGTGTTCTTTGGGTGCAACTCAGCATTCTTTGTCCTCCAAACACGACGAGTTGAGTTTTTACCAAAAAGTTCTATTTTGGTTTCATCTGACCATATGACATTCTCTCAATCCTCTTCTGGATCATCCAAATGCACTCTAGCAAACTTCAGACGGGCCTGGACATGTACTGGCTTAAGCAGGGGGACACGTCTGGCACTGCAGGATTTGAGTCCCTGGCGGCGTAGTGTGTTACTGATGGTAGGCTTTGTTACTTTGGTCCCAGCTCTCTGCAGGTCATTCACTAGGTCCCCCCGTGTGGTTCTGGGATTTTTGCTCACCGTTCTTGTGATCATTTTGACCCCACGGGGTGAGATCTTGCGTGGAGCCCCAGATCGAGGGAGATTATCAGTGGTCTTGTATGTCTTCCATTTCCTAATAATTGCTCCCACAATTGATTTCTTCAAACCAAGCTGCTTACCTATTGCAGATTCAGTCTTCCCAGCCTGGTGCAGGTCTACAATTGTTTCTGGTGTCCTTTGACAGCTCTTTGGTCTTGGCCATAGTGGAGTTTGGAGTGTGACTGTTTGAGGTTGTGGACAGGTGTCTTTTATACTGATAACAAGTTCAAACAGGTGCCATTAATACAGGTAACGAGTGGAGGACAGAGGAGCCTCTTAAAGAAGAAGTTACAGGTCTGTGAGAGCCAGAAATCTTGCTTGTTTGTAGGTGACCAAATACTTATTTTCCACCATAATTTGCAAATAAATTCATTAAAAATCCTACAATGTGATTTTCTGGATTTTTTTTCTCTCAATTTGTCTGCCATAGTTGACGTGTACCTGTGATGAAAATTACAGGCCTCTCTCATATTTTTAAGTGGGAGAACTTGCACAATTGGTGGCTGACTAAATACTTTTTTTCCCCACTGTAGAAATGAATCAACCCACATGACATCAAAGATGGCCAACCAACTTTCTAGTAGAGAATGCAGTGATGAGTACTAAAATTGTCGCCTGTAATAATGCGCTATGATAAACAGCATCTAACGGCCTTAATGAAGTGGTAGCTGCGTTCATATAGATGATGTCGCCATAGTCTAGGACCGATAGGAATGTCGACTGAATAATCTGCTTTCTACTATTTAGCGAGAGGCAGGACCTATTTCTATAGAAGAAGACCATTTATTTTCTCATCTTCTTAACTAACTCATCAATGTGCTTTTTAAAAGACAGCTTTTCATCTATCCAGATGCCCAGATATTTGTAAGCACGGAAATGCTGAATATGGACACCATCGAAAGTACATATGCTTAAATCAGACGTATTGTTCTGCACTCTAGAGAACATATACTTAGTTTTACCTGCATTCAATACTAATTTCAGGTCAATAAAGTTCTGTAATACAATGAAGGCAGACTGTAGTTCAGACAGAGCCTGGTCAACCGTGGGGGCAACAGCGTACACAACAGTATCATAGGCATACAAGTGCAGGTTACATTTTTTTACAGACATTCAGAGACTTGTCCCGAAGCCACTCCTGTGTTGTCTTTGCTGTGCGCTTAGGGTCGTTGTCCTGTTGGAAGGAGAACCTTCGCCCCAGTCTGAGGTCCTTCTAGAAAAAGCCATATCTCAGACTGGCCAATAAAAAGAAAAGATTAAGATGGGCAGTCTGAGATATGGCTTTTTCTAGAAGGACCTGCCTAGAAGTTCAGCATCCCAGAGTCGCCTCTTCACTGTTGACGTTGAGACTGGTGTTTTGCGGGTACTATTTAATGAAGCTGCCAGTTGAGGACCTGTGAGGCGCCTGTTTCTCAAACTAGACACTAATGTATTTGTCCTCTTGCTCAGTTGTGCACCGGGGCATCCCACTCTTTCTATTCTGGTTAGAGCCAGTTTACGCTGTCCTGTGAAGGGAGTAGGACACAGCGTTGTACGAGATCTTCAGTTTCTTGGCAATTTCTCGCATAGAATAATAGCCTTAATTTCTCAGAACAAGAATAGACTGACAAGTTTCAGAAGAAAGTTATTTGTTTCTGGCCATTTTGAGCCTGTAATCGAACCCACAATTGTTGATGCTCCAGATACTCAACTAGTCTCAAGCAGGCCAGTTTTATTGCTTCTTTAATCAGCACAACAGTTTTCAACTGTGCTAACATAATTGCAAAAGGCTTTTCTAATGATCAATTAGCCTTTTTAAAATGATAAACTTGGATTAGCAAACACAACGTGCCATTGGAACACAGGACTGATGGTTGCTGATAATGGGCCTCTGTACGCCTATGTAGATATTCCATTAAAAATCAGCCATTTCCAGCTACAATAACCATTTACAACATTAACAATGTCTACACTGTATTTCTGATCAATTTGATGTTATTTTAATGGACAAAATAATTGCTTTTCTTTCAAAAACAAGGACATTTCTAAGTGACCCCAAACTTTTGAACGGTAGTGTATGTAAATAAGGTATTTCATTTTTATTTGTAATACATTTGCAAAAATTTATAAAAACCTGTTTTCGCTTTGTCATTATGTGGTATTGTGTGTAGATTGAGGGAAAAAAATGTATTTAATCCATTTTAGAATAAGGCTGTAACGTAACTAAATGTGGAAAAAGGGAAGGGTTTGGAATACTTTCCGAATGCACTGTACATTTAGAATACATTTCAAAGATTAAAAAGATTGATGAGAATTAACCAAAGATTCTAATATTTCAGCTAGGCAAGAAAGTTTAGAAATAGGCAGATAACTATTTAGGTCACAAGGGTCACCACCTTTGTGAAGGGGGAGTACATGGGCCGCCTTCCAAACCCTGGGGATGGTACCAGGTTAAAAATCAGGGGGCAGAGAGCTGCAGCAAAAATGGATCAAGCATATCAGCGCCAGTGGATTTTTATTTTTTTTACATCAATCTTAAGCAAGGCATCTAGCACATAACAGATAGTAAATTGTTAAAATGAAAACAAAGATTCTCTAGAAGTTGACGTGTTAACCGTCGAGTCAGCTAGAGGCTGGCAGAGAGAAGAGCAGTTGATTGACTGACCAGGGTAAACTACACCACCATTTCTCTCAAATAAAAAGCCTGCAGAGATAAAAGGATGATTTAAAGCTTAAAAAGTAGTCAGAGCTTAAAAAGTAGCTTGATTTAGCTTTCTTAATCGAGATAGTACATCTGTTTCTCAATTGAAAGATTGCCAGTCCACGACAGAGTCAGTTTTCCTTGCTTTGGACCAAGCCTGATTTCTCCTCTGAATGAGCTCAGATAATTCTGAAGAAAACCAAGGGTTTGATCTATCTGTGACTCTGAATTGTTTAAAAGGGGCGTATTTATCTGCCAGAGGAATAAATACGGAGGATAATTTTTCTAGAGCCAACTCAGGGTCAGGAAACAGCGGCTAAATCAGAGAGGACATGTCATAAATGAGTTAGGAGTGTGGATGCCCCTACTGTTGGGTCATTGAATTGCAGTCTGACTTCAGTGTTGTAAGTTGACATGCTTTATTGTTTACACAGCTGTGATTGATTGCATTTGTAATATGTACTGAATTACATGTTACTTGTCATTGTCATTTTATAGATCTGTGTACAATTTTTTTTGTTGAGACCACACCCCATACTACTGTGGCATTATTGCTGGGTTTTGTATAAAAGAGACACGATGCCCGCAACACGGCCCACCTGGCCTGGAGAATGATGAGGGATGGCTGTGTGATGAAGATGACATGACGTCTGGAGCAGGTGAATGGCTTCCTGACCAACCCATGGTTAGGTTTGAAATGTCAAAAGAGGTGGTTGTTTAACGACAGTACATTTAACTTCATGGCAAAGATCGACAGGTTTTGATTGAGTCAATGCCATGCACTTGGTGATATCAATTCCACAATCATATGTCAAGTGTCACGAACAACAACAGTTGAAGGAGTGCGCTAAAGCACATACAATCTGGGTTTGTGAGAGATGTTATCTATGTGTCAGAGTTCAGGCAGGTAGCGCCACACAGTGCTGCAGGTCAGTCCATAGTTCTCCTCTCTGACAGCTTTAGGCAGTTCAAACTGAGCCTCCTGACGCAGGAGCCTCCTGATGCTGTGTCCTTCAAACTGGGCCCTCCCAGGGTCTCCTATCAGGACATGTGTTCTGTGGGTCTGGATGCAGCGGTTTAACCAGCTGTGGAGGCTGTCCGCCAACGCCTCCTCATAGAACATGTCTCCCAGGAGGATGAGATCATAACCCTTGGGCTCTGAACCAATAACGTTCTCCGTATCACAAGGGAGGGGGTTCAGGCCATTCAGCTCACAGTTCAGCTGGGTCGCGATGGCTGCAACTGGAATGAAAGGGAGAATCAGGAGAGAGGTCTTCATACCCAAAGGATATAATCAATCAGTCAAATGTACAAAAGTGTTGTCTTACCAGGATCGATGTCATTGGCTACTACATGAGAAGCACCGCAGAACTTGGCAGCTATAGCTGAGGCTCCACAGCCGCACCCCAGATCTAACACTCTCTTGCCCTGCGACACTCCAGGGTTACTCAAGAGATACCTGGAGAGATGTGGTGGGTAATGTTATGGGCATATTAGTGTTAATTAATTTGATCCATTTCATTTCAATACAATAGTGCTTTCAAAGCATTAATAATGTACCTGGCGAGTGCTTGTCCCCCTGGCCAGTATATTGCCCAGAATGGGTCAGAGAAGGGCCACAGTTCTGGTCTTGCATGCCAAAACCGACAATTTGGGGTGAACAGTCTCAAATGGATTTCTGGGGTCAAGTTATGCTTTCTTACGATCTCAGTGTTTTCTATAATAAAGTTCTTTATATCATCCGAGGCAAAGCCTTTAAGGTATCTATTTGTACTAGTGCAAAGTGTTTTGACAATGTTCATATAACCATTGTCATTCAGGTACAAAACTCCAAGCCTGGTTAACATTTTGTTAGCTAGCTAACTACCTAGCTACTTACAACAACAAAAAAAGCAAACGCACTAGGTTACATAGACATGTTCACAGTAAGCTAGCTGCAAGTCTACCAACTATATAGCTACCGACGGTTCAGTATTTTCCCCAAATTCACACAGAAATGTCAACCTGTAAATCCTGACCAAGGAAGGCACGAGCGCGTTGTTCCCATACGGAAGCAAAACAGGACCTTCTTCTTCGATGAGGTTTAACGGCAGTTGGCATCCAATAAATGAATGCATTACTGCCACCTACTAGACTGGAGTACAACTCCCTTATACTTTGCTTAAAAAAACAACAACCCTACTATCTAACACTACACTCACACATTAAAAAATAAATAAACAATTATAATAATAATAAAATAACACCACCCTACTCCACTATTTAAATCTATTTAGTCCTACCTCAGTCCAACAACCTGAACGGATGGGACACCACCACTTAACACACCCTGTAACTCTTCTGATGTCAAGTCTCGCACACTCAAATACCGCCCTGCAGCTGCCACCACAACCTCAATTTTCTGTTACTTACGTTCCATCCCTGCAGTACAGTTGATAACCATTGCTATAAATGCTAAAAATCCAATCTTACTGAAACATATATCACTTCTTGGCCTATCCCTCTGTACTGGTACATATCTACTACTCACACCACTCATCTCAGGATCCCTCCCCCTTGACCCATCTTCCTCTACTTTCTAAACTGTCCCTTCAGTTGCTCAACTTTTACATTTGCTGCTACCCCAGTAATCACTCCTTTCAATGGCGCCCTTTTCTTGAGCGCAAAACAATTAACATCTCTTGCCCCCATTTGTTTAACGTGGAGGGCCTGCTCCCTTTGACGAGCAGAAACACAAACAATTATCACAAGACCACTTCTGGTTACCCTCACCGATTCCACAGCACCCTACTCTGTTTTCACCCACCCTGAAACCACAAATGGATCAGCCAAAAGACAAGGCTGATCCATTTAGGAGTGAAGTTTTCCAAAAGCTATAGTCCAAGAACAGGACGTACTGGGTCAGCATTTGTAGTGCAGGTGTGTGGGGTGGAAGTCAGGAAACGTATTACAGATCATCTGGCTGTATATACGGCGGAGCTAATGGCCATACTGTTGGCCTTGCAGTGGGTGGAGGAAGTTAAGCCAGACCGAATAGTTATTTGCTCTGACTCAAGTGCAGTGTTAATGAGTCTCCAGTCCTTTAGCTCACATAGCAGACAAGACCTCTTTTATGAGGTGCTACAAACCCATGGCAGGATTAAACTAATGGGTATTCAGATCAGATTTACTTGGGTTCCAGCCCATGTGGGATGGAGGGGAACGAGGCAGTAGATGAATAGGCTAAACAAGCACTTAGTGGTGGGGATGTTGATGTTGAAGTGTCAATGAGCAAGGCAGAGACAAAAAGACTGATATATACAGTGATGGTGCAGAGATGGCAGGAGCAGTGGAATAGAAATAATAAGGGAAGGCATTTATTTCAGGTACAGAGGAAAGTCAGGGAGGGGAGGAAGGCAGGAAGGGACAGAAGAGATGAGGCTATTTTTACAAGATTAAGAGTGGGACACAGCCAGTTGAATAAGACATTAAACGTGATAGGAAAGCATCCATCAGGAAAGTGTGATTGTTGTCAGGAAATAGAGACTGTGGAGCATGTATTGCTACAGTGTGGGCAGTATCAGAGGGACAGAGAGATGATGAGATTTAGTATGAGGGAGAAGGGAATATAGGAAATTAGTTTAAAGAGTATATTGAGCAGAACGTCATTAGAAATAGTCTCAAATATTTTGTTATCTTTTTTAAGAGAAACAGGGTTGGCAGGTAGGATCTAGTTTCTCCCTGTCTCTGGCCCACATTCCAATACGGTAGGTGGCGGTAATGCACCATAATGTTGGATGCCAACCGCCGATAAACCCCACTGAAGAAGAAGAAGACCTGTGGATGTATTTCAAGGCCTACCTTCAAACTCAGTGCCTCTTTGCTTGACATCATGGGAAAATCAAAAGAAATCAGTAAAAGATATTGTAGACCTCCACAAGTCTGCTTCATCCTTGGGAGCAATTTCCAAGCGCCTGAAGGTACCACGTTCATCTGTACAAACAATAGTACGCAAGTATAAACACCATGGTATCACGCAGCCATCATACCGCTCAGGAAGGAGACGCGTTCTGTCTCCTAGAGATGAACGTACTTTGGTGCGAAAAGTGCAAATAAATCTCAGAACAACAGCAAAGGACCTTGTGAAGATGCTGGAGGAAACAGGTACAAAAGTATCTATATCTACAGTAAAACGAGTCCTATATCGACATAACCTGAAAGGCCGCTCAGCAAGGAAGAAGCCACTGCTCCAAAACCACCATAAAAAAGCCAGACTACGGTTTGCAACTGCACATGGGGACAAAGATCGTACTTTTTGGAGAAATATCCTCTGGTCTGATGAAACAAAAATAGAACTGTTTGGCCATAATGACCATCGTTATGTTTGGAGGAAAAAGACGGACACTTGCAAGTCGAAGAACACCATCCCAACCGTGAAGCACGGGGGTGGCAGCTTCATGCTGTGGGGGTGCTTTGCTGCAGGAGGGACTGGTGCACTTCACAAAAGAGATGGCATCATGAGGAAGGAAAATTATGTGGATATATTGAAGCAACATCTCAAGACATCAGTCAGGAAGTTAAAGCTTGGTTGCAAATGGTTCTTCCAAATGGACAATGACCCCAAGCATACTTCCAAAGTTGTGGCAAAATGGCTTAAGGACAACAAAGTCAATGTATTGGAGAGGCCATCACAAAGCCCTGACCTCAATCCTATAGAACATTTGTGGGCAGAACTGAAAATGCGAGCAAGGAGACCTACAAACCTGACTCAGTTACACCAGCTCTGTCAGGAGGAATGGGCCAAAATTCACCCAACTTATTGTGGGAAGCTTGTGGAAGGCTACCCGAAACGTTTGACACAGGTTAAACAATTTAAAGGCAATGCTACCAAATACTAATTGGGTGTATGTCAACTTCTGACCATTGGGAATGTGATGAAAAAAATTAAAGCTGAAAAAATCATTCTCTCTACTATTATTCTGACATTTCACATTCTTAAAATAAAGTGGTGATCCTAACTGACCTAAGACCTCATTTTTACTAGGATTAAATGTCAGGAATTGTGAAAAACTGAGTTTAAATGTATTTGGCTAAGGTGTATGTAAACTTCCGACTTCAACTGTAGATAAATGTATAATTTAATGTAACTAAGAAAGGTTTGTCCTTAGTTGTTGCCAATTTATCACAATCAAATATCATACTGCATTTGGTAACTACTATTTAATTTGGATTCTGAGCAAATGCTGTTGTTTCTTAATCTCACTTTCCCCAACCAGCACCTGATGATAGAAGGGGACTGTGAGTCTGTTTGCTCGTTCGTTCCTGTGTGGTTTACACTTTTCTACGTTTTTGTTTGATACTACAAGCACTAATGTTCCACTCACACAAACTATATTGGCAGCACTCTGCACAGATGAAAATTGTGAGTAGCGTAGGATACAAGACGTCTCAGAGAGTTCTTGTAATATCAACTTCAGTTCTATACATCTATTTGTTTAATCGGTAATGTTTGTTCCACACTGTCAGGTGAGAAGCATCTTCAAAAAGGAGGTGGAGACTATGAAGCGCTTTGAGTCGCCAAACATCCTGTGAATGTTTGGGATCTGTGTCCAGCAAGAGAGCGGTGAGTTAGCTTCTCTATTTGTTTTACAGTATGTGAAATAGTTGCTGAAAAGATAGGAGATGGGATATAATCACCATTTGATTGCAGGATATGATAACAAAATGTGATGATGATCTGCCCTTGTTGCATTTAATCATCCTTTTCTCTACCCTTGTTGTCCTGTAGGTCCCAATCCAAACTATTTTATTGTGATGGAGTTTTGTGAGAAGGGCAGTCTAAGAGAGGTGCTGGATTCCCAAAGCAAGCTGCCCTGGGATAGAAAGGCTCGCATGAGTCTGGATGCAGCACAAGGCCTCTACATGTACAGTATACCACTCTTTACCCTGTGCCTTACACACGTAGACCAGACAGTGCACCTATTACACATTAAGCACCATCTCTGCCATATCGTTGCCATAAATGTGTTATATTTATACAATTTGAACTAAGGAATCGGCCTATCATACATTTTTTATGTTGAATAAGGTCTCTGTCGCAACCAGTACAGACACCTTCAACATGAAATGTTGGCGGACATGAAAGGGTTCCGCCAGCGCGGTGGAAAGCGACATCAAAAGCTGGTTAATAAAGTCGCACCTCTGATGGTCACACCCCTGCCACAGGTAAATGTCACTGGGTACACGTCAGGTACAATTTGGCTAAATTCGACAGAGGAACGTTGGATGCTATTCATGCATCTTATGATCCACCTATTAAAACTTCTACCCACCAATACTATACAGTATGCTCTGGTGTTTCCTCTTCACTAAAATAATGGGTACACTGTATCTGTTCCCTGTGCCTTGCTCACCAACGTTCACAGAACAAGAAAGTATATCCTAATCACATTGAGCTACTCTGACATGACTAGCTAATCCCTCTCTCACTGTAGATTACACCAGTCTGAGGAGAAGTTTAAAGTGCATGGGTGCATCAACAGCAGCAAGTTCCTAGTACATACCGGGTACTGAGTGAAGGTATGAGGTTTAATGCATTCCTCTACACATCCATGTGTGTTTGGCACTACAAAGTGATAGGTGAAGTACTCCATCTCAATGTAATTGTTGTTCATCTGTTCTGTGTGGTCAGCTACGAGGTTTGGAGCTGGTGAAAACAGAGACTTCGTTGAAGAAGACTAAGGACAGGAAGAGCAGCTCCTTACGCTACAGCTCCCCTCAGCAGCTTGAGAGTATCAACCACCGCTACAACAAAGCCTGTGAGATGTACAGGTCAGTTTTCCATTACACTTATAACACACTCAGATATTGTAAATGAATGTAAAATCACAGAAAACACATGAGATTTATTATGTTGAAATGGTATTTGTTAGTCTAATGTAGGCCCTCATTGCAGTTTTGGCATTGTCCTGTGAGAGATTGCAACCTGCAAGATTCCCTTCGGAGGTGTATGTCAACTCCATTAGTAGAAAGGCTGTGGGTAATAAACACTAACAGCAATGCCAATGATACATCTGTAAATAGCATGGTTGGGTTTTCACTCTCTCTATAAGCATATGGTCATATTTAGACATCTGTCATTCCATTTCTGTTTTCTCTTGTCTTCTGATCAGACTGCTTACCAGAAGAGGTGTATCAGAGGGTGAGTAAAGACAAATATACTGAACCTCTTCCTGAAGACTGCCCAAAACAGTTGGGAGAACTGATCAACACCTGTCGCTCCTATGACAGCTTCCACAGGCCAACGGCAGGAGGTAATACCTTCAACACACACAACTAATAGGCCTAGACGTTGTGATATACTGTAGGCCTACATACAATTATTTCACCTGTTCCATATTGATTCCTATTTGTCCTCTGTTATCCTTGTTTCTTATTTCCATTCTGATCATCATCATTAAGAGGTGTTATCATACCCAGGACAGATTGAGTAATCAAGTTTGTCTGTTCCACAGTGTTGGTGGACAAGCTCCGCAAAGTGGTGGAGTAGTTAGAGGAGGACTAACAAACAAAGAGTTTCATCTCCAGAGTTCTCAGATACATGGCTGGAGAAGAGGAAAACCAAGAACAGTTATCAGCTCCAGGTTAAAGACAGACCAACTGACTGCCTCAAATTCATCATGGGATGAACAACACCCACACCCACAGACGTTTGATCAAGTGCATGTGATATAATTTTAGCCTAGTACATTTTCACAACATTAGTCAGGAACAACTTTGATTGAAACTGTGAAATGATTTGCAATTGATTTTACCAACCATTAAAGCACCACCATCAAATGTTTGCTACTATGGTACAAAGCTTTGAAAATAAAATATATAATAATAAAGCCATTTTTTGGTGAGTGACAATTTACAGTTTTCAGGCCAGTATTCATTAGCATAATATTTAGTAGTCTGGCTCCGCACCAATGGTGGTGTTGAAACATTATGGGGCGGGCCATTGAAGACTGGCGGGGATATTCGAGCCTTCCAAATGACGGTGGGGATAGCAACGAAACTAGGAATGCGAACGGATTATTTTCTACATCAAATGTTATGCTTTTTAAATTAAAAGTAATGTAGTTGAGCCATTTAGATGTCATGGTAACCCACGAAGTTTGACACTGGCAAGGATCGTTTTGGTAAAACGCGAATTTTCAAGGTAAGAAGAGGCGAGCTGCTACAATGCCAAGCTATTGCCAGCAGCAGCAGACTTTTATCTGAGGGGAGCTAGCTAGCATTATAACTAGCTAGCTTACTAGCAAGGAGGCTATTTCCAAATAGAGTAGCCACTAGCAATATATGAAAACTCTGCTATTTCATTGATCACATTCGAGACTGTCATTAAATAATCACATCGGTAGTGTACCGTAACTAGCTAGCTAACGGTAATTGTGATGTTTACTGTTTCAAGTAACTAACGTTAGCTAGCTAACTAGTTAGCAGAGCGGCCTTCGGTTTCTGTCTTTCAATGTACCGTTTTCCGAATCCTGTTTTGCTCTGCCTGTAGTAGTAGCAGCTGACTAACTAACTAACTAGCTAACTAGCTCTCATTGTTACCAAGCTAGCTGGCTACCTGTGAACTGTGCCAATTGTCGCCTAACATTTACTTTACATAGCTAGCTGGCTAATGTGTTCTCATTTACATAATAACTGGTCTTATCACTAACGTTAGATTGTCCATCCAATTTAGCTTGCTTGTGTTAACCATTTTTCAAGTAATGTGTGGCAATTTAGTTAACTAGTTAGCATTGCATGCAAGTTACAGTGCCTTCACACCCCTTGACTTTTTCCAAGTTTTGTTGAAGTGGGATTAAAATGGATTTAATTGTCATTATTTGTAAACGATCTACACAAAATACTCTGTCAAAGTGGGAGATTATTATTATATTTTTTATTTTTATGTATGGAAAATAAAACTCTTGATTAGATAAGTATTCAACCCCCTGAGTCAATACACATTAGAATCACCTTTGGCAGCGATTACAACTGTGATTCTTTCTTGGTAACTTTGCACACCTGGATTGTACAATATTTGCCCATTTATTATTTAAACAATTCATCAAGCTCTGTCAAGTTGGTTGTTAATTATTGCTAAAATCAGCAATTTTCAAGTCCTGCCATAGATTTTCAAGCCGATTTGAAGTCAAAACTGTAACTAGGCCACTCAGGAACATTCAATGTTGTCTTGGTAAGCAACTCCACTCCAGTGTATATTTGGCCTTGTGTTTTAGGTTATTGTCCAGCTGAAAGGTGAATTGGTCTCCCAGTGTCTGGTGGAAAGAGGTCTGAACCAAGTTTTCCTCTAGGATTTTGCCTGTGCTTAGCTCTATTCAGTTTATTTTTATGCTAAACTCCGTAGTCCTTTGCCGATGACTAACCTGATGCAGCTACCACCATGCGATACTCAGTGATGTGTTGTGTTGGATTTTCCCAAACATAACGCTTCGTATTTCTTAGCCAAATTTTTTGCAGTATTACTTTAGTCCCGTATTGCAAACAGGATGCATGTTTTGGAATATTTGTATTCTGTACAGGCTTCCTTCTTTTCACTCTGTCAATTAGGTTAGTATTTACATTTACATTTACATCATTTAGCAGACACTCTTATCCAGAGCAATTTATGATAGCCAGTGGGACAACCACTTAAAAAAAAAAAAAAAAGTATGTAGCTTTGACTGGGCTGAGCGGGAACTGTGCTTCCGTAGAGGTAGGGGAGCTAGCAGGCCAGAGGTGGATGAATGTAGTGCCCTCGTTTGGGTGTAGGGTCTGATCAGAGCCTGAAGGTAAGGAGGTGCCGTTCCCCTCACAGCTCCGTAGGCAAGCACCATGGTCTTGTAGTAGATGCGAGCCTCAACTGGAAGCCAGTGGAGTGTGCGGAGGAGCGGGGTGACATGAGAGAACTTGGGAAGGTTGAACACCAGACAGGCTGCATCGTTCTGGATAAGTTGTAGGGGTTTAATGGCACAGGCAGGGAGCCCAGCCAAAAGCGAGTTGCAGTCATCCAGACAGGAGATTACAAGTGCCTGGATTAGGACCTGTGCCGCTTTCTGTGTAAGGTAGGGTCGTACTCATGTTGTAGAGCATGAACCTGCAGGATCAGGTCACCGCTTTGATGTTAGCGGAGAACGACAGGGTGTTGTCCAGGGTCACGCCAAGGTTCTTTGCACTCTGGGAGGAGGACACAATGGAGTTGTCAACCGTGATGGGGAGAACATGGAGCGGGCAGTCATTCCCCGGGAGGAAGAGCAGCTCCGTCTTGCCAAGGTTCAGCTTGAGGTGGTGATCCGACATCCACACTGATATGTCTGCCAGACATGCAGAGATGCGATTCGCCACCTGGTTATCAGAAGGGGGAAAGTATTTTGGAGTAATCCTTGTGGCGGGCCGAGCGCATGCACACTGACTTCGGTCGCCAGCTGTACAGTGTTTCCAACGACACATGGTGCGGCTGGCTTCCGGGTTAAGCGAGCAGTGTGTCAAGAAGCAGTGCGGCTTGGTGGGGACGCATGGCTCTCGACCTTTGCCTCTCCCAAGTCCTTACGGGAGTTGCAGCGATGGGACAAGACTGTAACTACCAATTGGAAATCACGAAATTGGGGAGAAAAAGTACCCAAAAAAAGTATTGTGGAGTAACTACAATGTTGTTGATCCACCCTCTTATCTCCTGTCACAGCCATTAAACTGTAACTGTTTTAAACTCACCTCATGGTGAAATCCCTGAGTTTCTTTCCTCTCCGGCAACTGAGTTAGGAGGGGCGCCTGTATCTTTGTAGATGGCGAAGTAGTGCAGTCCTGTTTCTGTCGTGTGTCTGTAAATAGCCTGTAAATACCCTGTTTTTTTGTATTTTTCGTACATATTTCCCTATCAGACTTTTCATCCTTCTACAAAATATACTTTCCTGCAACCCGCCTCACTCAATGTGGAACGGATTCTATTATTGACTTACCTTTATCTAGAATCTAGAATCTCCAGTTGAAACTAGCTAGCCAGCTAACTAGCTACTTGCTATTAGCCACAGCTAGCGGTGTTTCACCCAGAACATTGGATTTTTTCCGCGGGATTAATTTTAATCACTGGACATTGATCACCGGATATTCGGCCAGTCTGCACAGCGCGTTATCGACCCAGAACATATCAGTTTTTCCGCCGGAATCACTGAATCACTGGACCTTTAACTCCGGATTCATCGCTACCAGCTGGCTACAACAAAACGGACACTGTGGTCTGGCTAATCATCCTGAGCTAGGCCCATCTCCCGGCTATCTACCTCTCTGTCAACCGGACGGGACCACCTAGTGTTGACACGGAGCCCCGCCGATCCTACACGACTGGTCTGCCGACGAAATCGTCTGATGTGGTTACGACGTTAACCACGAAGATTCCATCCATCTGCTAGCCCTGGCCCGCTAGCACACGCTAGCCGTGGCCTCTTACTCACTAGTGCTTCACCATCGGACCTTATGATAACTCAGCTATACAGCTGATATCTGCTGGACTGTTCCTTTTTACGGTACTACATCCTGTTTATGTTTAGCCTCAGCCCAAACATGGTTAGTTTATTGTTGTTTCGGTTATTTCTAATTGTACTATATCACTGTAGACCCCCCAGCCTAGCTAAACCTGCCTTAGATAGCTCCTTTGCCCCTCCCCCTATACACGCGGAGACCGACTCAATTGATGCCTCCAGCGATGCTATCTCTTTCATTGTTACCCAACGCTTAGGTTTACCTCCACTTTACTCATATCCTTGTCTGTACATAATGCCCTGAATCTTTTCTATAACACCCGGAAATCTGCCCCCTTTATTCTATGTACCCAACGCACTAGAAGACCAGTTCTTAAAGCCTTTAGCCGTATCCTTATTATAGTCCTCCTCTGTTCCTCTGGTGATGTAGAGGCTAACCCAGGCCCTGCAGCCCTCAGTATCACTCCTACTCCCCAGGCGCTATCATTTGATGACTTCTGTAATCGCAAAAGTCTTGGTTTCTTGCACATAAATATCAGAAGTCTACTTCCTAAGTTTGAGTTATTCACTGCGTTAGCACACTCTGCCAACCCTGATGTTCTAGCAGTGTCTGAATCCTGGCTCAGGAAGGCCACCAAAAATTCTGAAATTTCCATCCCCAACTATAACATTTTCCGTCTAGATAGAACTGCCAAAGGGGGTGGAGTTGCAATCTACTGTAGAGATAGCCTGCAGAGCTCTATCGTACTATCCAGGTCTGTGCCCAAACAGTTTGAGCTTCTACTTCTAAAAATCCACCTTTCCAGAAATAAGTCTCTCACTGTTGCCGCTTGCTACAGACCCCCCTCAGCCCCCAGCTGTGCCCTGGACACCATATGTGAATTGATTGCCCCCCATTTATCCTCAGAGTTTGTACTGCTTGGTGACTTAAATTGGGATATGCTTAATACCCCAGCCATCCTACAATCCAAGCTAGATGCCCTCAACCTCACGCAAATTATCAACGAACCTACCAGGTACAACCCTAAATCCGTAAACATGGGTACCCTCATAGATATCATCCTGACTAACATACCCTCTAAATACACCTCAGCTGTCTTCAACCAGGATCTCAGCGATCACTGCCTTATTGCCTGCGTCCGTAACGGGTCCGCGGTCAAACGACCACCCCTCATCACTGTCAAACGCTCCCTAAAACACTTTAGCGAGGAGGCCTTCCTAATTGACCTGGCCCAGGTATCCTGGATGGATATAGATCTCATTCCGTCAGTAGAGGATGCCTGGTTGTTCCTTAAAAGTAATTTCCTCTCAATCTTAAATAAACATGCCCCATTCAAAAAATACAGAACTAAGAACCGATATAGCCCCTGGTTCTCCTCAGACTTGACTGCCCTTGACCAGCACAAAAACATCCTGTGGCGTACAGCATTAGCATCAAATAGCCCCCGCGATATGCAACTTTTCAGGGAAGTTAGGAACCAATATACACAAGCAGTCAGGAAAGCAAAGGCTAACTTTTTCAAACAGAAATTTGCATCCTGTAGCACTAACTCCAAAAAGTTTTGGGACACTGTAAAGTCCATGGAGAATAAGAGCACTTCCTCCCAGCTGCCCACTGCACTGAGGCTAGGAAACACTATCACCACCGATAAATCTACAATAATCGAGAATTTCAACAAGCATTTTGCTACAGCTGGCCATGCTTTCCATCTGGCTACCACTAACCCGGCCACCAACTCTGCACCCTCTGCTGCAACTTGCCCATGCCCCCCCCCGCTTCTCCTTCACACAAATTCAGACAGCTGATGTTTTGAAAGCGCTGCAAAATCTGGACCCCTACAAATCAGCTGGGCTAGACAATCTGGACCCTTTCTTTCTAAAACTAGCCGCCGAAATTGTTGCAACCCCTATTACTAGTCTGTTCAACCTCTCTTTCATAACGTCTGAGATCCCCAGAGATTGGAAAGCTGCCGCGGTCATCCCCCTCTTCAAAGGGGGTGACACTCTAGATCCAAACTGCTACAGACCTATATCCATCCTGCCCTGCCTTTCGAAAGTATTTGAAAGCCAAGTTAACAAACAGATCATCGACCATTTCGAATACCACCGTACCTTCTCCGCTATGCAATCCGGTTTCCGAGCTGGTCACGGGTGCACTTCAGCCACGCTCAAGGTCCTAAACGATATTATAACCGCGATTGATAATAGACAGTACTGTGCAGCCGTCTTCATCGACCTGGCCAAGGCTTTCGACTCTGTCAACCACCGCATTCTTATTGGCAGACTAAATAGCCTTGGTTTCTCAAATGACTGCCTCACCTGGTTCACCAACTACTTCTCAGATAGAGTTCAGTGTGTCAAATCGGAGGGCCTGTTGTCTGGACCTATGGCAGTCTCTATGGGGGTGCCACAGGGTTCAATTCTTGGGCCGACACTTTTCTCCGTGTATATCAATGATGCCGCTCTTGCTGCTGGTGACTCTCAGATCCACCTCTACGCAGACGACACCATTTTGTATACATCTGGCCCTTCATTGGACACTGTGTTAACAAACCTCCAAACGAGCTTCAATGCCATACAACAATCCTTCAGTAGCCTTCAACTGCTCTTAAACACTAGTAAAACTAAATGCATGCTTTTCAATCGAACGCTGCTAGCACCCGCCCACCCGACTAGAATCACCACTCTCGACGGGTCTGACCTAGAGTATGTGGACAACTACAAATATCTAGGTGTCTGGTTAGACTGTAAACTCAACTTCCAGACTCACATAAAGAATCTCCAATCCAAAGTTAAATCTAGAATCGGCTTCCTATTTCGCAACAAAGCCTCCTTCACTCATGCTGCCAAACATGCCCTCGTAAAACTGACTATCCTACCGATCCTTGACTTCGGCGATGTCATTTACAAAATAGCTTCCAACACTCTACTCAGCAAATTGGATGTAGTCTATCACAGTGCCATCCGTTTTGTCTCCAAAGCCCCATACACTACCCACCACTGTGACCTGTACGCTCTTGTTGGCTGGTCCTCACTACATGTTCGTCGTCAAACCCACTGGCTCCAGGCCATCTATAAATCACTGCTAGGCAAATCCCCGCCTTATCTTAGCTCATTGGTCACCATAGCAGCACCCACCCGTAGTCTGCGCTCCAGCAGGTATATCTCACTGGTCATTCCCAAAGCCAACACCTCCTTTGGCCGCCATTCCTTCCAGTTCTCTGCTGCCAATGACTGGAACGAATTGCAAAAATCTCTGAAGCTGGAGACTCTTATCTCCCTCAATAACTTTAAGCATCAGTTGTCAGAGCACCTTACCGATCACTGCACCTGTACACAGCCCATCTGAAATTAGCCCACCCAACTACCTCATCCCTATATTGTTATTTATTTTGCTCTTTTGCACCCCAGTATCTCTATTTGCACATAATCTCTTGCACATCTAGCATTCCAGTGTTAATACTATTGTAATTATTCTGCACTATAGCCTATTTATTGCCTTACCTCCATAACTTGCTACATTTGCACACACTGTATATATATTTTCTGTTGTATTTCTGACTTTATGTTTTTTTTACCCCATATGTAACTCTGTGATGTTTTTATTGCACTACTTTGCTTTATCTTGGCCAGGTCGCAGTTGTAAATGAGAACCTGTTCTCAACTGGCTTACCTGGTTAAATAAAGGTGAAATAAAAATAAAAAAATAAAAAATTGGGTGTGTTGATACACCATCCAAGGTGTAATTAATAACTTGTTCAGAGATGGTTAATGTCTGCTTTTTCTTTTAACCATCTACCAATAGGTGCCCTTCTTTGCGAACTATTGGATCGTCTTTGTGGTTGAATCTGTGCTTGAAATTCACTGCTCGATTGAGGGACACAGAGTGAGTCTATGCAATTTATTATGTGACTTGTTAAGCACATTTTTACCCCAGAACCTATTTAGACTTGCCATAACAAAAGGGTTGAATACTTAGTGACTCGACATTTCAGCTTTTCATTTTTTATGAATTTCTAAAAACATAATTCCACTTTGCCATATTATGGGTTATTGTGCATAGATCAGTGACATAATCTCAATTGAATCAATTTTAAATTCAGGCTGTAACACAACAAAATGTCGAAAAAGTCAATGGTTGTGAATATCTTCTGAAGGCACTGTACATAACCAGATTTTTGTTGTCACCCTAGTTATGTGGCTCCATGCAGCATTGCATGCCCTACAGGGGTGTATTGTATTCATTACGCAGCTTCTGTTACAAAACGTTTCGTTTTTTGCAACGAAAACACGTTTTGCAACAGAAACCGTTTACTCCAAACGGAAAACCTTTTGCAACGAAAACAAGTTTCTATTAGACACATTCAGGATAATAATAACAATAGATATATTTTATATAGTGCTTTTCAAATGGAGGCGATGGAGGTGGACTTGCAGCTGGGGGGCCCCAGTAGGGAACCAGAACCAGATGCTATGGCAGGCCAGGTAGATCTCCCTATCATCATTCCTGACTCTGGCAGCGAAACTGAGGTAGAGGACGAGGCAGACGCGGCTCCCCTTGACCCACCACGGCTCCCGACCACCTGGGCGTTCAGTCAGAACAGAGTCAGAGTGGAGGGTCAAGTTGGGCCCAGGATCAGAATGGAGGGTCATATTGGGCCCAGGGTCACTACAGCAGCAGCCCTGAGGCAGCGGAGAGCCAGGTAGAGATGGTTGGACTGGAGTCACTCACTCTAAATTGTACCGGAGACATTGTCATATACTTCATTGAGTCCCTATTTCACCCACAACTCGTTGATTGTACCTGTATTGTCTGTGTATTATAAAGGCCAGGCGTCAGGGAGCTGTACCCCACCCAGACCTCTGCTAGCCGCTTCCTAGATTTCCTGCTGCGAGTCCCTACAGCCAACCAGGCCGAGCCTGACTCTGGCAATACCACAGAGGTGAGCGAGTCAGAGGATGAGGCAGAGCCAGTAGACCCTCACAACCCTGGCGAACTTGCCTTTCCCTCCAGCCCTCGTCTGAACCCTCCCGTTGCAGCCATGCCACTGCAAGGCCTAAATCCTTCAGGTAAACCAACCTCGAGCTCAAGTCTGATCCACGCTTTGCCATTTTACACTGTCACCTATGAAGAGTTAAATCTAACCATGTCTATCCTGTGTATAGATTCTAATGCAACCACAGAGGCTGCGAGGACAGAGTCTGGAAATCAAGTGAATCCTGAGGTAAGACCACATTCTTTGCCAGTGATAGGCCTAGAATCTTGGAGGGGAATAATATTTCCATGATTAGCTAGCTAGTGCAGTTTCTGTAGTACCATTGGCATGCTCTCTCGGTCCCCTTTCTAGAGTGTTACAGCCCCAGTGGCCACCAGTGGTGCAGCTCTTCGGTCGTCCCAAGGGGATGAGGGGGACGGGGAGACCTGCTCTATCTGCTTTGAGCCCTGGACCACGTCAGGGGAGCACCGCCTGGCCACCCTGCGCTGCGGACATCTCTTCGGCTACACCTGCATCGACCGCTGGGTGAAGGGCCAGGGCCAGGGAGCCAAGTGTCCCCAGGTCAGTGTCTGTCTGTCAACCTCGGCATGTCTGCGGGCAGAGGAGTGGAGTTGCACAGGATGGTCTGTACTCAGTATTTGCAGTCACTCCTTAGTGACAAAAAGAGGTCCTGGTTCCACTGTAATGACTGGTACCAAATTGACTCTGTGCTAGAGACGGAATTTCCTCAAGCACTCAAAAATCATTTGAAACAAAATAAATGCCCTCTGAATTACTTAAATCTGAGAAAATACTGCCACAAAATGAGTAAAATACAGTTGCATTGACTTACCATGCAGACAATGATGTAATTTATTGATAAGAAAACATTCCCTCAGATTATGTCTGGTCCTTATAATGACCGTTTACTGCTCTGTGAATATCTGCAGTGCAACAAGAAGGCCAAGCGCTCTGATATCGTCCTCCTGTACGCACGCAAGCTGAGGGCTTTGGACAACACAGAGCAGGAGAATATGAAGAGGTAAGGTAGCTGAGCTCCTCTCTAGTTTATTTTCTGACTTGCTGATATTGCCATTGATTTGACCTTATTCACTGCTGTGTGTAGGGAGCGGTTCAGAGAGTGATGCACACTTTTCCACAATGCATTGGAAGAGGTGGGCTGCGAGTGATAGGGCCTAGTTCTCTTGAAGTAGCCAAACAACAAAACTAGGCTACTTAATTGGGAAGATGCCGAATAGCAAAGCTTCTGTGGTGGTGTTCAAATGTAGGCTAAGTAGTTTTTGTTCTCCTTAAAATGATCACGGGTATTGCATTGTAGGCTAAACTGAAGTCTTATTTAGTAAAAAATTTTATACATTGTTTCTTGTTCTCTTGGCATTTGTCAGAGCTTTTAAACTAAATACTAAACCATCTTTTGATTTCTGAATGTGTCAGCACCGGGGACTCGGGATGTGTCTGCGTTGTTGATGTTAGTCAGGCCTTTTGATTTGAACATATGGATTGTTTTAGTTTTGTAGGCTACCTATTTAATTTATGGGTCAAGCCTTAGCAGTCATTCTGATCTCATTGCCAATGATCAGTGCTTTACATTTGACCTTTTAGTCATTTAGCAGATGCTCTTATCCAGAGCGACTTACAGTTAGTGAGTGCATACATTTTCATACTTTTTTCATACTTTAGTTTATTAGGTTGCTGTCCAGCGGTTCTGAATTTGCGATGCACCCGACTGTCCATGGTTTCTATGCAATAGCCTTTTGATTTGAACATTTGAGAAGTTTTGGTGTGTGTACTAGGCTATTTGATTTAATTTATATATGTTACAGCACTTTAGTTTCACTAATAAATATGTTGAAATGGAACCAAATTATCTCTTTCTGTCTTCAGTCCTTTTTAAATAGGATAGATGGGCTATATGGGCTACTTATAGGTCTAATGTGATAGTCTGCCTATAACCAGCCTGAGTAGGCCTAGAACTCCTTTCCTATTCTATTCAGAGTTTAGAGAAATTAATGAAATTGCAATTGAGCTATTATCAGGCTGGTTAATGCGATGCATGTCTGTTGAATTGGGAAAAATCCACCCTCGCTCGGCCCCGCCCCACCTACTCAACCAGTCAGGAGCCTCTACTGCGTTGTGGCCGTGGCGTACTGCATACTTTTTACTAAATGGTACGTGCTAAATAGTATACGACGGTGAGTATGCAGTTTAAGTATGTAGTACGCTGGTATGGGTATTTGGACATGGCTAGTGAGTCTGAATGTGTTGTTATATGTGCAGGTCATTGGAGCAGGAGCAGTCAATGCGTAGGAGGGCTGAACTAGAGTCAGCCCAGTGCCGACTACAACTGCAGGTGATGACAGATGAATGTGGGAAACTACGCAAGCAGATACAGGTACTTTGTTCCTTTTGATGTCCTCATTGATTTAGCTGTCCCCCCCCCCTTAGTTGGATCACTCTCTACCTTCTCTCCCAGGAGCTGAAGATGCTGATGGCCCAGCCTGGCTGTGGGCCCTCTAAGAACTCAGGGGCCTCTCTCTCCGGGCTCTCACAGAGACAGGACAGCACCCAGGGCGGCCACTACGTCTTCTCCAAGGCCGTGCTGGTGTCTCAGGCGGGGGGCTGCAGGGTGCTGGCCTACTGTGAACCACTCAGCTGCCTGCTGGCCTCCCATCCCTCCCCACACACCACCCTGGTGCCCGGTAAGACCTTTGATAAGCGTTGATATGCTTTCAGTACGGAATAGCTGTGTGAATTTTAGTTTTTTTGCACAGATTGCATAGATGTGAAAATATCAGAAGGCATATTTTCAACCATCTGTGAAATATTTTCTACCTCACAATAAGTATTTCTGTGTTTTCTAAGACATGAAAGACATTTCTTGGAATCATTTCTCTCCCTGTGTCTGTCTCTCTCTTCCTCTCTCTGTGTCTACCTGCCAGGCTACGGGGTGAAGAAGGTGAGTACGGTGAATCTGAAGGCATGCCAGTACGTTCCCATCCATGCCAAACAGATCAGAGGCCTGGCGTTCAACAGACAAGCTGACAGCCTCCTACTCTCTGCTGCCCTGGACAACACCATCAAACTCACCAGGTAACCACAAGAGACACATAGTCAGTCAGTGTCCAAGCAGATAGAGATTTATCAGGACAGTGTGTTTCAGAGTGGTGTTGACTTAATAGCCCCAGGCTCTGATGGAGAACAACATTGCACTTGCTAAGGTAGAACATTCTTTGATTGCAAGAATCAGTCAGACCTAGATTGAAAACAAAACCCTGATGGTTAAAAGGACAGTATTTTCCAACCTAAATCAAATATTACATTTACATTTACGTCATTTAGCAGACGCTCTTATCCAGAGCGACTTACAAATTGGTGCATTCACCTTATAGCCAGTGGGATAACCACTTTACAATTATTATTATTATTTTTATTTTTTTGGGGGGGTGTGGTAAGGGGGGGGTTAGAAGGATTACTTTATCCTATCCCAGGTGTTCCTTAAAGAGGTGGGGTTTCAAATGTCTCCGGAAGGTGGTGAGTGACTCCGCTGTCCTGGCGTCGTGAGGGAGCTTGTTCCACCATTGGGGTGCCAGAGCAGCGAACAGTTTTGACTGGGCTGAGCGGGAACTGTGCTTCAGCAGAGGTAGGGGGGCCAGCAGGCCAGAGGTGGATGAACGCAATGCCCTCGTTTGGGTGTAGGGACTGATCAGAGCCTGAAGGTACGGAGGTGCCGTTCCCCTCACAGCTCCGTAGGCAAGCACCATGGTCTTGTAGCAGATGCGAGCTTCAACTGGAAGCCAGTGGAGTGTGCGGAGGAGCGGGGTGACGTGAGAGAACTTGGGAAGTTTGAACACCAGACGGGCTGCGACATTCTGGATGAGTTGTAGGGGTTTAATGGCACAGGCAGGGAGCCCAGCCAACAGCGAGTTGCAGTAATCCAGACGGGAGATGACAAGTGCCTGGATTAGGACCTGTGCCGCTTCCTGTGTAAGGCAGGGTTGTACACAAGCCTAAATACATTCAGGAGTAAAAATGTGCTTAAAAAATCACAAGTTGCATGAACTCACTCTGTGTGCAATAATAGTGTTGAACATGATTTTTGATTGACTACCTCAAATATGACAACTGTACCATTTCTCTCCTGCAGTCTAATGACCAACACAGTGGTGCAGACGTACAACACGGGTAAACCAGTGTGGAGCTGCTGCTGGTGCCTGGACAACAACAACTACGTGTACGCTGGTCTCAGTAACGGCTCTGTGCTGGTGTATGACACCAGAGACACCAGCACACACATCCAGGAGCTGCAGCCACTACGCACTAGGTAAGTCCGATAGCCAGACCAGGGGTCATAGGTCAGCTAGTCTATATTCTCAACCACAGTTTGCACCACTACACCTATCTATATATCCTACAGTGCCTTCAGAAAGTGTTCACACCCCTTTACTTTTTCACATTTTGTTGTGTTACAGCCTGAATTGTTTTAATTGATTACATTTAGATTTTTTGTCACTAGCCTATTTTGAATTTTTTACAAATTAATAAAAAATGAAAAGCTGAAATGTCTTGAGTCTAAGTATTCAACCCCTTTGTTATGACAAGCCTAAATACATTTGCTTAAAAAATCACAAGTTGCATGAACTCACTCTGTGTGCAATAATAGTGTTGAACATGATTTTTTATTGACTACCTCATATCTGTACCCCACACATACAATTATCTGTAAGGTCCCTCAGTCAAGCAGTGAATTTCAAACACAGATTCAGCCACAAAGACGGGAGGTTTTCCAATGGGAGGCACCTATTGGTAGAAAAGCAGACATTGAATATCCCTTTTTGAGCGTAGCGAAGTTATTCATTACACTTTGGGTGAATGGACCAATTTGTAAGTCGCTCTGGATAAGAGCGTCTGCTAAATGACGTAAATGTGCCCTTGAGCAAGGCACTTAACCCTAATTGCTCCTGTAAGTCGCTCTGGATAAGAGCGTCTGCTAAATGACTAAAATGTAAATGTAAATATGGTGTATCAATACACCAAGTTACTACAAAGATACAGGCATCTTTCCTAACTCCGTTGCCGGCGAGGAAGGAAACCACTTAGCGATTTCACCATGAGGCCAACAGTTACAGAGTTTAACCTCTACGGGATTGGTGTCCTGTATACGGGACGGTTGAGCTAACGTGCGCTAATGTGATTAGCATGACTGTTGTAAGTAACATCAAACTTTCCAGGACATAGATGTATTTTATATGGGCAGAAAGCTTAAATTCTTGTATGTATTACCATATCATTTTTGTATGTTCTCTATAGTTATGTACTTCAAAATATATCAATTGACAAAATAGTCCAGTATTGCAATGCTTAACTGGATCAATCTGAAACTTTGCACAAACTGCTGCCATCTTGTGGGCAAAATCAAAAGTGCACATAAACTGCAAGATTATATTTTTTCACATTTGCATTTTAGTCATTTAGCAGATGCTCTTATCCAGAGCGACTTACAGTTAGTGAGTGCATACATTTTCATACTGGTCCCCCGTGGGAATCGAACTCACAACCCTGGCGTTGCAAGCGCCATGCTCTACCAACTGAGCTACACGGGACTCATTTTGTGGCCTTTCTCTTATAATATAAATAATATAATATGCCATTTAGCAGACGCTTTTATCCAAAGCGACTTCCAGTCATGTGTGCATACATTTTTACGTATGGTCTCTTGCATTTCAAAGATGATGGAACAAAAAAAATAATAGAAAATGCATGTTTTTTGTTTGTGTTATCTTTTACCAGATCTAATGTGTTATATTCTCCTACATTAATTTCACATTTCCACAAACGTCGAAGTGTTTCCTTTCAAATGGTATCAAGAATATGCATATCCTTGCTTCAGGTCCTGAGCTTCAGGCAGTTAGATTTGGGTATGTAATTTTAGGCGAAAATTGAAAAAAAGGGTCCGATCCTTAAGAGGTTAATGGCTGTGATAGGAGAAAACTGAGGATGGATCAACAACATTGTAGTTACTCCACAATACTAACCTAATTGACAGAGTGAAAAGAAAGGAGCCTGTACAGAATTCTAAAATATGCATTCTGTTTGCAACAAGGCACTAAAGTAATACTGCAATTCACTCTTTGTCCTGAATACAAAGTGTTATGTTTGAAGCAAATCCAATACAACACATTACTGAGTACCACTCTCCATATTTTCAAGTATAGTGGTGGCTACATCATGTTATGGGTATGCTTACCTAGAGCGTAGTGGCTGCAGCTCCTTGACGTGTGTGCTGGTGTAATCGTTAAAAACTGGAGTTTTTCAGGATAAAAAGCTGAGCACAGATCCTACAGAAAAACCTGGTTCAGTCTGCTTTCCACCAGACACCGAGAGATGAATTCACCTTTCAACAGGACAATAACCTAAAACACAAGGCCAAATCTAAGATGGAGTTGCTTATCAAAAAGACAGTGAATGTTCCTGAGTGGTCGGGTTAGTTTTGACTTAAATCTACTTGAAAATGTATGTCTAGCAATGATCAGCAACCAACAATTCAGGTGTGCAAAGCTCTGAGACTTACCCAGAAAGACTAACAGTTGTAATCGCTGCAAAGGGTATGAATACTTATGTAAATTAGGTTTCTGTATTTCATTTTCAATACATTTGAAAATAAAATCTAAAAACATGTTTTCACTTTATGGGGTATTGTGTGTAGATGGGTGAGAGAAAAACAACTATTTTAATCAATTTTGAATTCAGGTTGTAACAAAACAGAATGTGGAATAAGTCAAGGTTTATGAGTACTTTCTGAAGGCACTTTCTAGGGCCCTGTTTTTTTCCTTCCTGACCACAGGATCTGACCAGGAGAAGTTACATTTGGTATTTTATTTTCAGCAGTTGGGTTTTGCTACTCATTCTCAAAGATTGTTAAATGTAATATTCATGTACACGGTGTGTGAAATGTCATTCACATGGTGTAATATATTACGTAATACATATACAGCGTGTGATTAAAACCACAAGGCCAAACCATGACCTCTGGCTCCTCCCAGGTGTCCCGTGGCCTCTCTGTCCTACGTGCCTCGCGCCTCCTCCAGCTCGTTCCCGTGCGGCGGCCTCATCTCAGGCTCTCTGGAGGGGGGCTGCTTCTGGGAGCAGGTGGACGGCACCACTTACAGACCCCACATTTTACCCCTGGAGACGGGAGGCTGTACAGACATCCAGGTGGAGCCAGAGAGCAGACACTGTCTGGTCACCTACAGACCAGGTGAGACACTATGATGGACAATGAAGCGCTGTCTGTAGTAAAGAGGAGCTAAAGTGTGTGTCTGCCATCATTACATTTTACTGGTGGCAAAGGGTTGTGTTCAGCTCTTCTCTACTCAGAGCTAATCGAACACCGAAGTGCTAGCTGAATCACTGTGTGTGTGTGGCTAGATTTCCATCCAATTGGCGACAGATTTTCATGCAAATATTCAAATATATGCATAAAAACAATATGCACATTTTCCCACCAGAGAGATTTTTGTTGTGCGTGATGAAGTAGTGCACACAACTCTTGCGGTTAAATTCCCATGTACCAAATAAAAAATACAATTTAAATGGGTTTCCATTGCATTTTCAACTCTACTGTTGGTTTTATCACAAAAGAAATACAGTGCGGATATAGCCTACTACATGATGAGATTATTATAGACAAAAGAGCGAGATTATTTTTATTTGTCAAACGGCAGCCATCATGATCATGTCACCAGAATAAGACCCTCAATATTTATTGGAAAGAAACATCAAGCTCATCACCGTGCACTTTCACCACCCTGTGAAGTTCATCATAATTTATTTGATCTGTAGCCTAATAAACTGCATGCTTTCCCGAGTCGTAGTGGGAGGACCACCCACCATTTCTCGCATAATTAATTTTACAGACACAAAAAGATCCCACCCTGTCGAACGAACAAATTCTGTCTGCATTTATAAAATTGTACTGAAACTTCCTGTTTCCATCACAGCTGTCGTGAGTTTTTTTTTTTTTATACGGTATGACTTTACATAACTGTGGATAGAAATGTGTGTTTAAAAATAACATGTATAATCTTTTGTCTGTTACAATTCTGCTTGATACTGCTGCCAGAGTCTTTGTTGGATCTAGGAAATCTGCCCACTGTCACACTAGTCCTGGCTTCTGTCCACTGGCTGCAGGATTGATTCTAATATCTCTAAGCAGGTGTTTTTAGCTGGGCATGAACAAAAGCCTGAATTCCCCAGTAGCTCTCCAGGACCAGGGTCGGTGTTGACCACTAGCTCCTGTATTTAGACTGACAGTCTCTGTGTGTTTGGCCCCAGGGCGCTCCAACCCGTCTCTGCGTTGTGTTCTGATGGAGCTGAACAGGACTTTCCAGCAGGATACGGCCCAGGAGCCCTCGTGTTCCTGCTACCCTGTCCAGACCTTCAGCGCCGGCTCCTCCTGCAAAGTGCTCACCAAGAACGCTGTGTTCAGAAGCCCGGCCGGGGAGGGCTCCACACTGGTCTGTGCCGGGGACGAGTCCACCAACTCCACCATGGTGAGCCACTGGCTGTGTGCGTGTGTGTGCGTGTGTGTGCGTGTGTGTGTGTGTGTGTGTGTGTGTGTGTGTGTGTGTGTGTGTGTGTGTGTGTATACGCACGTATACAGTGGTGAGCATTGATTGGCAATGATACAATTATGTGTGTGTCACTTGTGTACAGAATGGTGGCCATTGGCAATGATGAAATTGCTTTGTGAACATCTGTATGCAGCACTGAAAACAGGGTCAAGGAAATCATGGTCCACTGTGGAGACAGGGAGCACATTCTGTCAGTCATTACAGATGGAGCCCTAAACTTTCCTCCTGCTGAGATTAGGGAAGAATCAATGGTTCAACTGTTTTGTGGTTGAAATAACTCCATAATACTGAGAGGCATATGACTCTGATTTGAGGCAGTTTTGGAGATAGTTTGAATTATATGAAACAGCATCAAGATCTTCACATTGATCTATTGATTCTAATCATGTAATTTTACTTTTAAGGTGTGGGATGCAGGGAGTGGATCCCTGATTCAGAAGTTGCCTGCTGACCTCCCAGTGTTGGACATCTGCCCATTTGAGGTGAATCAGGGCAGTTACCTGGCCTCTCTCACTGAGAAGATGCTCAAAATCTACAAGTGGGAATGAGGAGAGATTATGGCGGAGAACATACACACCACCAGCATAGAGCATGTATGAGTAGGGCAGCTGCTGCACTGTATAAATGGCATCCATTTAAAACAGCCTTTTCTTAGACTACAGAGGAGCCTTTGTTGGGTTTGCATTGCAGTGGAGGGACTGGAGAGATGTCACACTGCTGCACTGTTATCAAGGAACTGATAACTGGAGTGCCTGTACACATACACCACTGTCCTAAATGTTTACATTTGAGAATCACTGAAAACATCCCATCAAAATGAACAGATATAATACAGCAAGACAGGGGTACCCTACCCACTCACCACTACCCAGCTTTTCCTTTGGATGTGAAGATGAATCTGTGTTTTTGTCAACCATGCTGCCAATGCTTGTTTTAATTTTGCAATGTTATGTTAAAACATTGGGCTATGTTCAGTTGGTGAACGTTGCAGATAGAAATTCCATGAATAGAGCCGATGTGAGTCCTTATTCTACATATCAGAGAGGCATGTTTGAGCTACATTGCCTGTTTCTAGCTGAACGTTCCAAAACGTTAAATCCTGCTGAACGTGCTGCTGGTCTCCTGGTTCACACAGGCAGCCCAATTGTGGGGCGCGTTCAGCAGGATTTAACTTTTTGGAATGTTCAGATAGCCTATTTCTATGTAGATCAAACATGCCTCTCTGCTATGTAGAATAAGGAATGCCATCGGTTCTATTCATGACATTTCTATCTGCAACGTTCGAGAACGTTTAGCAGCTGAACATGGCCCTGAACTTTTTTCCACTAATTGGTCTTTTGACCAATCACATGAGTTCTTTTCACGTCAGATCTTTTTCAGTGCTGATCTGATTGGTCAAAAGACAAATTAGTGAATAAAATATCAGAATTGGGCTGCCTGTATAAACGCAGCCTTTGAGATGGATCCATGGATAAAAATCAGGACATCTATAGCTAACAAGTGTTACATTTCCTGGAATTTGATTAGAGCAACTGATCAGCAGGCTTTATCAAAAATCGTTAAGAATAAAAATACAATGATGGTTTGCTTATTTTAGTTCCAGAGGAAATTGTATATACATGTATATTTGATACCAAATGTTTGTGTACAATTTCAAATGTAATAAAATATAAATAATTGGTTATTGTTCATCCTGATGTAGGTTTGGGCGGTATCCAGATTGTCATAACTTTATACCGACCTTGTGCCATACCAGGATATTCAGTAATACCGGCACGGAACACAAGGGGAGCTGTAATCCAAAGGTTAGCAATGCTAACAAGTACATGTAAAATACCATAGAAAATGCTAACGATCGCATTGGGAACATTTAGTGCAGTTTCTGACAAATTATACAAGTAACTCACACATGCTACACAGTTTGCTGCACGCACAAAACAAATATTAGTCAGCAAGGTTCTTGATCCATGAGGGGATTATCTGCTGTTACCAAGCTAATGCTTGATTTTGGAAGAAGCTAACCCCTTAGCTAGATAACGAACTAGCTACTGAATTAGTAAACCAAATGCACAACTCCAGAGCATTTAGCACATTTTAGACAGTTAACTTAATAGTTATAAGATATCTAGCTGGCAAACATTTTAGTTGTAAATTCCATACAGTAATTAGATCACCTGGTGCATGCTGCACAACAGTGAGTGACTCACAAGGCTCCGGTCTCTCGTCATTGTGTGCTTGTAAACAAACACCACATGATGTGACTGGGTACTATGTGTAAGCTTCATACTAATGTGACAGGTGAAATGAAGAACGCAATGTTCTTTATCTCCTAACTTATTGCACAAGTTAACTGCAGGTATGTACTTAAAAACTAGCTACAAATTCACATTTATTAAACTTTAAACAGTATATATTTTTTTTTTTACTGTTTCAATGGTATTGACGGTATTGAAAAACCCTCCAGTGGCTTTTTCCAAATACCCCGTTATATGGTATATACAGTATACCGCCCAAGCCTATCCTGATGTGATTCATACTGCAGATTGCTTGCTGCAAAAGGTTAGCTAGCTTGCTATTTTCATAAACCTTATTTTTTTCAATAAAAAACATTGTCTTCACCCATGAGCATTGTCTATAGCTATCTTCTAAAGATCACTAATCAATGATTTTGTATTTTCATAGATCAAATATCAGTATCATGGTTTATGTCAGGAACAAATGAGAGCAGACAACATTTAAATTGTTTTACATTTTAGTCATTTAGCAGACGCTCTTATCCAGAGCGACTTACAGTCGTACATTATTATTTTTTATTTTTTCATACCCCCTGTGGGAATCGAACCTACAACCCTGGCGTTGCAAACGCCACGCTCTATCAACTGAGCTACATCCCTAACTGAAACAAAAGTAGTAGATTTCCCCATTGAGATAGGGAATTTACACAGGCAGCCCATTTCTGATCTTTTTCACTAATTGGTCTGTTGACCAATCAGATCAGCTCTGAAAAAGAGCTGACGTGAAAAGATCTGATGTGATTGGTCAAAAGATCAATTAGTGGGAAAAATATCAGAATTGGGCTGCCTGTGTAAACGCAGCCGAATAGAGTCCCACACTATATTTAATTGTGTTTATTGCAAGTGAAAGGGTGATTGTGCTACAGAGAAACAGTAACGAGACGGACCATATCAATGTTTTCTCAATGAGATTTTCAGTCTAGAAAATGTAGCTCTATGACTTGAGGTTGCCAACAACGCACACGCCGACGTATGCACGGAAACGTCCCATCCCACTGTAGTCATAATTTGCAGCTAGCAATCCAAGCTAGTTAGTTATCCGAAGATGGCGGCTTGTAGACGTGTTCCTCTTCTGCTTTTGATGTCTATCCTTCTGCATGTGCATCCCATTCGAGGACAGAAACCTGTGAACAATGTAATCGTTAATCCTGCAGCTAGGGTTAATATCCAGGCTCAAAATCAAGGCGCAGCACCGGCTGCTGTAAATGGAGGTCCTCCAGTCGTCGCGGCCTCGCCACCTCGTAGGCGCACCAGCGGCTGGAAGCTGGCCGAAGAGGGGGCTTGTCGGGAGGACTTGACCAGGCTTTGTCCGAAACATTTCTGGAACAATAACCTGGCTGTACTTGAGTGCCTCCAGGATAGGAAAGAGGTATGGTGGAGTGAGCGATATTGTGTCCAGAGTTTGGGTGTGGGCTTTACCCAAACTATAACGTTATCGTTAGCTTGCCGATGCTAACTTTTAGCTAGCTGGCTACTTGGCTAACGACGTTAGCTAGCTCGCTGTTTGGGGTGTAAAAAGAGGATATAAAGAAAGTATGGTAATTTATTATTATTCAACTATATCATTTGAGAAAAGTACTGAAAATACTGATTTATTTCTTCACCAGCCTATATCACTTAACTTTAACTAATTAACTAGTCAGCTAGCTAATATGTAAAGATGTGCCAAGCTATGACCATTGCTGAATTAGCAATGACTAGTTTGATCCTCTAATGATATGTTGGGAATTATGTCAAACCCTGGTCTAACACATGTGTCCTTTTTACTGTCTATCAGAGCCAACATTTACAGCAATGTCCTGTTCAGAAGAAGAATAGGAGGATGTAGGAGGAGATTCAGTGACGGTTTTTAAGCTTCCAGCCAATGGTTATGGATAGGCTTGGAAAGGCAATATATACAGGAATCTGTGTTGAGGGACCACCTCTGCCTGGGGCCAGAAAGCTAGAGGTGAGACCGTCTATCCTAATCTGAACCAGTACCTGGTCTTGAGGAGACGATGAATATGACGAGTTCTTCTCTGACGCCCAGGATCCTTAAATTCAAAGTCCCATTAGTCAGCTCTGCAAACGTTATGTCAAAATACTTTCGGTACTCACCAAGATATGGAGTTTCCCAGAGCAACTATCGTCATTACTGCCGTTACGCACGTAAGCACGGTATGTACTTCCGAAAAAAGGGCTAAATAAAATCAATTATCTTTCGGGATACTGTACTGTTGCTGGATCAGCCGACCTGTGCGTGACAGTAATGAGGGAATTTATTTGAGGTGCCAAAGGTGGATTTGCCGCATGGACACTTTTTGGTCAAAAACAATGCTTTTTATTTAGATCTTTTTGGGAAGTAAGTACACGCCGTGCGTAACTGCTGTAATGGTGATAGTTGCTCTGCGAAACGCCATATTTTGGTGAGTACCGAACGTATTTTCACATAACCTTTGCAGAGCTGGCTAATGGGATTTGAATTGAGGTATCCTGGACATCAGAGGAGATCTCATCATCCCCTCAAGCCCAGGTACTGGTTCAGTCCTAATCAGGTGTTTGCAGAAGGCAGATTTGTATAAGCACCTGAGTCTCAAGGCAATGGCCCTGATAGCTCCAGGGGCTAGTACCTGCAGTGGTCTGGTGTGATGATTGTTAGTCATTCTGTAGACATTCTGTAGTCTAGAGTATCTATTCTATGTTAAGCCTTGATTTTTTGGGGGCAAGGAGCTTGTTGTCCTCTGTTTATGACAGGTAGTTTCTCTCATCTCAGTCCTCTTCATTGTGAAATGCTGATTATTGTTTTATTTATTTTCCACCAGATGTTGAAGCCTATTTCAGTGGCCTTTTCATTGAGGAGGCTGGAGAGTCATGTAGTCTTGGCTTAGCTCTCTTGGGTGTGGGTAGGTTTAGAGGCACACAGCATTTTGCCTGTCTCCAGGCTGCTGCTCTCACTGTCAGCCTCCCCTGTAGTTGTGGTTTTGTTTACGTGGTCCAGTCAGAGTAGGGAGGAGGCCATGGCAGTGTGGCTTTACTTTCAGGCCTCGTGGATTGACTCGTTTAGTTCTGAAAGTTCTGGTTTGGAATTGTTGAAAGGTCTTCAGCTTCAGAGCCCTGTACTACGAACACAGTTTGAGGAGTTGGCGAGGTAACGTTGGTCAACTCAGGATAACCGGTACCACGAAAGTGGCTCAACTTTTAGCCAGGAACATTTCTATAGCAACGAATCCTTCAGCACTAACCTGCTCCAGAGAAGGCTAGCTCGGGGCTCCATGATTATTCACTGTTGTATTGATGGGCCCCCGTGTAGCTCAGTTGGTAGAGCATGGCGCTTGCAACACCAGGGTTGTGGGTTCGATTCCCACGGGGGGCCAGTATGAAAAATGTATGCACTCACTAACTGTAAGTCGCTCTGGGTAAGAGCGTCTGCTAAATGACTAAAATGTAAAAATTTAATGATATTATGAACACTGATTCTGTAGCAGTTGGCAAAGTCACTGCCTTTTTGTTTTGGCTTCCTACAAGCCTTTTGGGCTGGTGTTTAGAGAACATATGGTGCTGTCTCATTAGGATATAAAGGACCTGTCTCTAAGAAGCCAGTTAGACATTTTCTCTGCTTCTGTGCAGGGTGGTGTCTCCCTGTTGCAACTTGTAATAAACCGGATAGATTTTTGGTGAACTTTACCACACCTGCGCTTCTTTTTGTTCACCTGGAAATTCCTATTACAACCCATACAGCCATGTTTCATTAGTTTTTGGAAAAGAGTTG